GAAATATTAGCTAATTTGAAGCAAGCAATTTCTAAATAATTTTTATCTCCTGGCCCTCTCTGATTTTTTTAAATGACCAAATGCCTGTGTTGGTCAACACTTTTTCTCAAAACCTATTCAACTTTCATGAGGCCTAGTTAAGTGGGAAGACTTTAGGTTTAAAAGAAAGTAGCAAGAGAAATAAAAGCCTCTGCTCCCTTGGCCAGAATGAAAGACAATCTAAGCAAATCGTGAAAAAGAAAAAATGTGCTCTTCAGCCATAAAAAAGAATGAGATCATGTTCTTTGCAGGGGCATGGATGGAGCTGGAGGCCATAAGCTTTAGCAAAGTAACACAGGAACAGAAAACCAAATACTGCATGTTCTCCCTTATAAGTGGAAGCTAAATGATGAGAACACATGGACACATAGAGGAGAACAACACACACTGGGGCCTTTGGGAGGGTGGAGGGTGGGAAGAGGGAGAGGATCAGGAAAAATAACTACTAAGTACTAAGCTTAATACCTGGCTGATGAAATAATCTGTACAACAAACCCCCAGGACATGAGTTTACCTATGTAACAAACCTGCAAACCTGCACTTGTCCCCCTGAATTTAAAATACATATATTATTAAAAAAAATGCTCATAGCACTCAACCATCTTGGTGACCCTTTCTTCCTTTGCCCCAATTCAATCTAGGACACAAATGCCTTCATTTTGCCCAAGTTTTCCCATTCATTTCTACCATCCCACACAACATTGCACATCCCCAAACTAGCCATGGCCACTTTTCCTCCTTTCTGTCCAACTCTTCTATAAAAACAAATTCTGTCACAGGAGCTGACTTAAGCCTGGTATAAGAAGTATGACAATAAGATTGACTACTTTAAATGAATTAATAAATCATTCCAGGACTTGCAGTGCAACATGAGCTTAAGATACCACTTTTCCAAAGAAATTTTAATACGTAGGGATTTCAGGATAACAAAAGAGAAGAAATGGGAAAATTGGAGCATGTGCAGAGGGATAGTGTGGAGCTTAGAGCAGATGAGATGAATGTGCAGTGCACATTCACAGAACCTCGCTTCTGCACATGTGGCAGACATGACTAATGGAAGCTAGATCTCCCACCTGTGGATTTGCCCACTGTTCTCGCAAACCTTCCTGGTGTAAAGCTTGAAGAGAGAGAGTGAGGCACTGAGAACTTGCAGGCAAGATGAAGCCTATTTGCCACTCGTGCCCTGGGACTATTCTAGAGTGGATGCTTACCCCAGGGTCAGGCTCTCTAGTGTTCTTGGAAGAGCATTTTCTCTTCCTTCAAATAAGTCCACTTGGGGGTAAAAAGGAAATATTCCAATGACAACGTTGATGTTGCTCAAAACACTTCAGGAATTTCTAGGAATTGTCTTCTTTGAAAGTTAAAAAAAATACAAACCTTCTTTGTCTTCTCCTTCTCCCCAACACACACACAAACACACACACTCTCTCTCTCTCACATACACACACACACACACACACACACATTCTGTCTCTCTCTCTCTCTCACACACACACACACATTCCACTGCCTAATTTTAGAGTTTGCACTTTGTTTTTGATCAACTTTACTAGCTTGACCACCACTCAGAAGGAGCATCAAAGTACTTTAGGTTTTTGTTGTTGTTATTTTATAATGAACACTCATACCCAAAGAACGAAGTTTTGCCCCCATGTAATCCCTTGTTGAAGCACATCGGTAGGCAGAGCCCTGTCCTCTTCCCTTATCCCTGGAATTTTTTCTGCTGCTATGTTCTGAATATGCCTCCCAAAATTCCATGTGCTGGAAACTTGATCACCAATGCAGCAGTGTTGGGAGGTATGGCCTTTGGGAGATATTTAGGTGGTGAGGGCTCTGCCCTCGTGAATAGGTTAATGCTATACTCAAAAGGGCTTGCAAGAGTGGGTTCACCCTTTCTTCTCTTCTGTCATGTGAAAACATGGGGTTCCTCCCCTTCTGAGGATGTAGTGCTCACCTTAGAGGTGGAGACTGGGCCCTCACAAGACACCAAACCTGCCAGCACCTTGATCTTAGACTTCCCAGCCTCCAGAACTGTGAGAAATTAATTTACATTCCTTATAAAATACCAAATCTCAAGTATTCTCTTATAGCAGTAAAAAAAAAAAAAAAACCAAAAAAACCAGAGTAAGCCACCTGCTTTCATCTCCCCCTTGTGTCCTCTATCACTTTTTCTTTTTTCCCAGGACGCTTCTCTTCTAGGCAAACTGTAAGGTGAAACAGTATCTTCTGCCTTATGCTCAATCCCTTCCACTTTCATTAGTGGCCCCAAAGCTCTTTCTCTCTTGAGTAATTTTCTTTAATACAAGAAAACAAACCATTCAACAAACAGAACCAACTTTTACAGATTGTAAAAGTTATAAAAGTATCTTAATAAGTATTTACGGCTTCGTTTCCCTGATGCATCTACTTAAATGTCCAAAACAAAAAGCTGGTTTCATAATTAAGCCATTTAGTCTTCTACTTGGATTTCTTTACTTTCACGTATGATAAGAAACCTGCCTTCTTCAGAGCAGGCAAAGAGATAATCTGCAAGGACATAAAATATGGTTTCAAATGGCTAGACCCATGAAGGGGCCCCATGCTCGAGAGGGCCATGAACATGTCAGGATGACTCTAGAATCACACAGATTCTCCACAGCACAAGATACTTTTTAATTTTTTTCTGGAAAGGTCAGGTGACATCATTTCCTAATCTAAGATTTGAAGGAAAATCTATTGGACTTTCACAGAATGTTGAAGCAATCAGCTGTATCACCCAAGTGTCTACGGTAACCCAGGGGGCTCTTTACATTTTGATATAAAATGTCTGGTAATTTTGCTCATATAAAGAAAATAATAATATACCATGTCAAATCTAATGGGTATGCTTATACAGAATACACACACTAATAAATACACACAAACGGATGTTACATGAATCTCAAAGTATGTTTAGTGCATTCACTTTTCAAAGACCCTAAAGAAATGACAGAACTTTATAATGGCATATTATAATATACTGGAATGTTCTGGTTCCTCCTAGCAGTTACCGTAATCTGCATGACAATTTTATTAAAACACTGCTGATTTCAAGTAGACCATCAGAAAACAGGAAAATCTCTCTCTTAAAAGTGGAGATGTTCTACAAAACATGAATGAGCAGGAATGGATAAAACAGTAGTACATCATTTGACTCAAAAAGATGCTCATGTCTGTGCCAAATCATATTTTTCTTAGGAAGTCACAATGAACAAAAAAAGAAGATAAATCATTGTGGAAATGCAAGTGAGCTGGTAATAATAGCCTAGTTATAGCTGCCATGAAATAGTCATTAAGTTATATGTAGCATAAATCTCACAGAGTTTTGTAAATTATGGTGGTTCTTAGAGGCCAAATAAAGATAAAGTGTAGTATCACTGCCTTTCTTTTTGTTCCTTGGCATGGCTTTTTAAAATGTGTTATCTCAGGCTCATAGCACCATATGGCTCCTGAAGCATCTGAGAAAGAATTGAAAAGTTCACAACTGTATTCAAGACTCCTCCACCACATTTTGAAGGTGATCATGTCTAACCAGTTCTTCCCTAAGCTCCTAAGCAGAGTCTGGCCCTGACTGGGCTTATACTGGGGCCAGACCGACTTCCAGCTCAAGCCTAGGACTTCAAGCTGCTCTCATTTCCAAGGCATGCTGGAAGAGCAAGTGCCAGATATGTGTACTGCTGCGGGAGCTGGGCTTGCCATGCATGATTCCGGCCAGCCATCTCCAGCTCCAGAGACCAGCAATGAAACTGTATCCTCTGCTTCTCTCTACACACCTGCACATTAGCAAAACTCTGATTCAGAGATTCCTAACCAATGTTCCTTTTCCTCCTTTTTGGAGGTTGGTAGTAATCCCCAGTTGATCTTTTTCCTTAACTGCTTTTACCCCTGCTATTTAAACTAAATTCTTATTGCTTCAAATTAAATCCATTCTTTCTAGCCTTGTCATTGCTAACTAATGAGAACAATTCCTCTCTTTGCTCTTGGTGACTGTACTTTGGGTACTTATGGATGAGAATCATATCTCTCTTTAGCCTACTTTCTTAACTGCAGACTGCACAGGTGATAAAATGGGTTAATTGTTGCTATAAAAATATTTTCCATCCTTATAACAAAAAAATTTTTTCTTCCAAATCATTTTTAATTTCTTAGCCTTTGCTGTGTTCTTATGATCTACAGGGATTGAGGGTGCAGTGCTATTAAGCGCATATGTACAAGACCAAAAACAAAATGTTGACTATGCAATACACATGAATTACTCAATTCTTGATCACTGTCCTCTTTCCCTTTTGCCCCGCCTACTCTGGCACTCTGGTCTCAGTTTTTATCACACATTTATGACATCTCTACAGTGATATTTGAAGCCTAGACAGGGGTCACTAAATTATGGCCTGCAGCTTGTTTTTATAGATACATTTTTATTGGAATACAGTCGCATGCATTAAAAAAAAATGTATTGTCTGTGACTGCTTTCACATTACAAAGGCAGAACCAAGTAGCTCTGAGAGAGACTATCTGACCTGCAAAGTCCAAAATATTTACTTTATGTCTCTTTACAGAAGGTTTGCCAAATCCCAGCCTAGGAGATTGTTAAGTTCCACTTGACTTTGCTGCTTGTGCCAGGTAAGATCCATACCAGGTAAATCTCTTAAATATACCCTAGAAGTCTGAAAAATGTTCTGCCACAGGCCAAGTCAGACAGTTGGGAAGGGAGCCTGCAAAGAATGAATTTCTTTTTCCTCTCTATACACATGGAGAAGAAGAAAGAGTTTTTAAATTTTTTCCCCCAGGAACCCTATAAGCCTGATGGTTCACATCTGAAAACAATTTTTATAAGCATGTGCACCTTTGCCACACCGATCTAGATTGTTCTGCAGCATTTCCCTGAATCACCAACTCAGACCACCAGCAAGACAAGAAAATCCAGGCCAAGGCCCGCTACTCACTATGTGAAGCTGGAGGAAGTCACCAAGTCCTGGGGCACTGTCGATGCGGACCAAGATGCCATCCTTCACAGTGGTGCTGAAGCCCACGGCAAGGCGGTCAGAGCGCGTGCTGGGCCTGTCATTGGCTGGCCAGGTGTAGAGGATGAGCCCACCGCTTTTCCCAAAGATGTACGTAGCGCCAGCTGCAAAAGCGAGGAGAGAGGGAGACATCAAGGCACTGTATTGCATACAGCCAGTTGCAGCATACTGTTGAGACCTTACACAGAACAGCTGTAGAGAGGAAATGTCCCCCATGGGACAGTATTTGGTTACTTAGAGGAATGGCACCCAAAGGTTCTGAAGGCAGCTATCACCCCAAATTAAAGAGGCAGGCAGAATGAATGAATAACAAAGCAGATGTTGGCGAGAGTCGTTCTTAACATCTTCAGTTCCTGCTGCCTAACGGTGGAGGGTAGATAACATCCTAAAGTCTGGGAGTCTGGGGATATTGCAATAAACAACTTTCTGGTCTTCTTCAATAGCAGGCTTAATTTTCCATCTTGGCCAGGACAGGCACAAAATAGAAAACTAGTCCCCTATCTCTTAGCTATCAGCATAATCTGGTCACTGGAGCCAGGAGCCTTACAAAACTGAAGGTAACAGAGCAGTCCAAAGACATCGTATCTCTCCTGCTTGTACCTTCTCCCACGCCCACAGGAAAGAAAGCAGTGGCCCAAGAAAACCAAGTTATGTGACTAAATGCATTTGCCTATTTCACTATTATGTTGCTATAAACATGGTAACAAAAATGATTTCCTGGAGTCTTTTTTTTTTAAGACGGAGTCTCGCTCTGTTACCCAGGCTGGAGTGCAGTGGCGCAACCTCGGCTCACTGCACCCTCTGCCTCCTGGGTTCAAGCAATTCTCCTGCCTTAGCTTTCCGAGTAGCTGGGACTACAGGCACGTGCCACCATGCCTGGCTAATTTTTTGTATTTTTAGTAGAGAAGGAGTTTCACCATGTTAGCCAGAATGGTCTCAATCTCCTGACCTTGTGATCTGACTGCCTTGACCTTCCAAAGCACTGAGATTACAGGCGTGAGCCACCACGCCTGGCCTCCAGGAGTCTTTTAAAAATGAACCTTCTTTTTGTTCCCTAGTGGTGGGATTTATCTGGCATTAAATACATTTTCATTTCCTTTTTCAAATTAAATCTTAGGAAGAAGATCCAAGAAACATAGAAAAAACATCCCAGGATGATGAGATTCGAACGTGACAAGTGGCAATTGTCAATTATGATTAGTGAGCTTATCAGTGTGTTTACTATTTACTTGTGTTTTTATTATTATCCATATGCACTCAGGAGTTACTAAGAATATATTAATTTAGAACTACTTACAAAGCAAATGGGAATAAAAATAAAGAAAATATTTATATTTCAGAAATTATAAAAAGTATATTTCAAGAAACACGTTTTTAATCTCAGTTGATTAGATTTGGTGACCAGAAAAGGCTATGCCATTTGTTGCCTCTCTGGTTTTAGGCATGTGGTGTTAACCCACAGCGAATACTTCCATGGGTTACTCATCTCAAAATTCAGAGCACATTTGGTATCAGATTTTCTTGTGTATTTCCCAGTGACCATGTTCCAACTCTTAAAACCATTTTAAAGCAGCATTAGACAACTACTCAGATACCTTTAACATTTACTAAAACTCTCAAGCACTGGTCCGCATGTATTCCCAGAGCTAGTTTACAGGAATATTAGGTGGAATTATGTTGACCAAAGAAGAAGTGAGTTATTCATCTTGTTTAGAAATAATAAAGTTAACTCTTGTGAGACTAGAATTAGGAATATGTGTCACATGTCATCCTTCCTAAAGCACTAAGACTCATTAAATTCTGAGGCATATAGAATCTAATTTGTCTTTTTTGAAAGGTCACTATTTTAGTTGCTCCAATTTGCTCAGTTCGTATATTACATGTAGCATAACATTGTTTTCCTTTTATGAATTTCTCAGTCCTTAGGGGATAGTGTCTGAAAGCCCTCTACACTAATCTGGAGGATTTGAAATTGTGGTATGCAAAGTTTATGATTAATTCTATACGCAAAACAATGTTTACTTCCTACCATACACAAACACCCTCAAAGCTTCTTAAAATTAGAAATGTGGGTATGATTTACCCTTGATATCTCTCCATCTGTGAAGAATTTAAATAATTCCTCTGTAGATGATTACAAATGTCATCACCACTCTCTTTAGTCTTTATTTGGAAAACTGAAGGTTACTCAGTGATTAATGTATAGAATCACCAAAAAATGCAAATCAGCCTGTGACATTTCATGGCAATTTATAAAAATCTTTTACTTTTCTATCCTAAATATATAGTGGATTTTGCTACAGAGATAAATTCATACTCTATCAGGAAATAATTTTATCACTATAAAAATAACAAGTCAAAAAATTGATAGCAACATAGGCATGGTGCTTTACAGTTTGCAAAATATTTTCAAATTCATTCGCCGAATCTTTGCAACAATTGTATGGGATATTTTATATCTTAACACTGTTTTATAGATTTGGAAACAGAGGCTCAATTATCTGATTTAAATAGTACCATCCTTAAGTCTCCAGCCTGAGTCTTCTACCTCTGAAAACCTTTTTTCACCACATACCAGTGTAATTACACAATAAACTGTATCAAGAAACTATACCAATGAGGCAAACAGTTGTCTGTACTTAGTTCTTTTCACATCTTTTTATCAGACTAAAGCAGAATGAAAACAAAGTCACAGCCCCCAAATCTGGCATGTTTTCAAAAACTTGTCTGGCCATCTCACCATATCAATAACTTTAAGCATTTTACTTGTACTTCTCACCCACAATCCTGCCAGTAATTCTCAGTGCTCCAATAAAAAGGAGAAGTATATTTTAATACATAAATATACAATTTCTTATATATGGTTAGAAGGTCACAGTGCCTTTAATCTTTAAATAAACAAAAAACAAAACTTCACTATGACAATATTTGATAGATGGACTAAAAATTTGATTGAAAATTATTTGTATTGCTTTTGTTATTCTGAATTTACAAAGTCACTATGTTAGATAATTCTAACTTTATAGGTGAAGAAAGTATAAAAGATACAAAGGACCTGGCGTATGATTACCCTGCTATGAAGAAAAAAATATGAAAATCTCTCTTCTTGGTAAACTATTTGCTAGTAAGAGTGAATAAAGACCCTGAATGCTCCCATAGTCCAATGCCATGGGACATTAGAGGAAGTTAATTAACAATTATACCTTTCTACACCAATATTGTTATTGTTTTTTCTCTTTACATTTCATGCTTTGCCATCGTGCATTGTTTTTAAAGGTAAATACATACTTCATGTTAATTTTAATATAAAATGCCCAGAGTCCTCCAGGAAACAGAATTATTTTGCTCTACATATTCAAATAAAAAAGTTAATTGTGTTATTTTAAAATGTGGATTACAAATCCACTTCTTTGGAAAATCCTGGGAACTATAAGACTCTCCACTTAATCCATTAAAGATTTTCATTTCTGAGCCATGCTATATACCACATTACATGCTTTCTTCCCTGAACCTCGTACTTCTGATTGCTGGTTTCTCACCATGTTCAGTATGCTGATGCAAGATCATACTACTTATATTTATATTCAGAATCATGTAAATTTCATTCTTGTTGGCAAAAACTGATCAATTCAACTGAAGAAAAAATTGCTCTAGTAGCATTTTGGCCATTTAACACTGCAGGATTTGCAAGTTTGCAAGCAGCTGAGGTTGCTTTGCTGAGTTTTAACCAACACAGTATTCCAGGAGTGAAATTTCTACACAGTCACCACTACCAAAGATTAAGAGGACACATTTCATCTTCAAATAGTCAACAAGGATGACTTTTTTTTTTTTTTTTTTTAAACTCACAACCTGCAAATAATGGGTCTGGCTTATTGTTTTCATAATTGGCAAACTACTTACTCTGATGGAGCTGATGGTGATATTGACAGAGTGTTTTGGTATGTGTTCCGTGCGTGTGTGGCTGGGATAGCGGTCCAGCAGACAAAAAGGATCAAACAGTCTTCCACGCAATCATAAAGGAGTCCTGGGTGATAGTTACGGGACAAGCTAATTAAGTGGGTGATCTATAGTTTCTTCAAGAGAATGAGGAATATAATTTTTTCTCATTCACATATTTCTCCAAGGTTCTTAAATTTTGAGTTTATTTTATTGCTTATTTTATTAGAATATAATTGTTGACAGCAATTTACTTTTTCTTTATTTAGGATCACTTAGGTAATTATTTTATCATTGTTGTTTTGACTTGGAAACCCGATGGCCCTGCCTTTATGGCATTGGTTCTATTTCTAGTCTCATAGCCAAATAGCATATTACTTTTTGTGGGAGACTATTAACAGAAATTGAATTCTTGTCTTAACACTCACTTTAGATATAAAAATAATATATACATACATATGTGTATGTACATATATGTATACATAAGCATATATATATTTGTCTATGTGTGTGTGCATGCATGTGTGTGAAAAACATAAAAGGCTTAGTTAAAAAATACAATAGACTAGAATTCATTTATTATTTACCCCATCAAATAATTACAGATAAAATGGCTTAATGAAAGTACTAAAATACAATAATAAAATATATTGGCTGTATAAGTGTGTATGTATATATATGTGTATCTATATATATAAAGCAAACTAGCCTTCCCTGAAATAATTCTTTTTTTTTTTTTTTTGAGTCGGAGTCTAGCTCTGTCGCCCAGGCTGGAGTGCAGTGGCCAGATCTCAGCTCACTGCAAGCTCCGCCTCCCGGGTTTACGCCATTCTCCTGGCTCAGCCTCCCGAGTAGCTGGGACTACAGGCGCCCGCCACCTCGCCCGGCTAGTTTTTTTTTGTATTTTTTAGTAGAGACGGGGTTTCACCGTGTTAACCAGGATGGTCTCGATCTGCTGACCTTGTGATCCGCCCGTCTCGGCCTCCCAAAGTGCTAGGATTACAGGCTTGAGCCACCGCGCCCGGCTCCCTTAAATAATTCTATTGATGTTAAAATGGAACGAGTTTTGGAAGCGCCTCCCAGGGGAAATCTGAGAGTTAAATTTAAGGAGAACTAGGTAATTTACTTGTGGACAAATATAACAAGTAGAACAATAAATTAAGTA